TGCAGCTTCTAAAAAGAGAGATTTCGAAGACTGACTTCCGATGCTTAATAAAGCTCAGATCACAACTTCTTTGAAGTATTGTTCTCATGTATTGAGCTCCGCCTCCAAGTATACCCTGAAGTTGATGGATTCCATCCAGAAAAGAACCATCAGCCTGATTGGAGACACGAACATCACTTGCAATCTTGATAATCTGGAACTTCGAAGGAAGGTTGGATATTTGTCTTTCATTTATAGATACTTCCACTAGAGGAGTTCAAGTGACTTAACATTTGTTTTGCGATACACATCAGGAATACGTCAATGACAGCGGCTGCTCATCGTTTTAAGGTCCAACTCAGTACACCTGCGTTTTTCCAAACGTATTCAATTTCCAGCGATTCGAATCCAACGTGAATCGCTATTTTCATAAAGGTACCCTCCTTAGAGCGGCTCAAGGATTTTTCTGTACTGATTGTGTTTTGTCCGTGAAAAAAACACAATTGTAACAAAACGTTGGGCGTGAAAACTTGCAGAACACGAAAACCAAATCTGTCAAAATAGCTTCGACAGAGTTATCACCATCAGTGACTTTGTAGTCATGTAATTGGCGCTTTTTCCAATAGTCTCAGTAGAAAATTATATTCAAATCTAAACCTGAAGCAGAAGGGCTTGAGAATATAAACATGTGTCACAGTTTCCGTGATTATTTTCGAAGGAAGAGGAACGATCTATACCTCTCAGTTCCTGTTTTCATGTTTTTTTTTTCTAATAACTTAGTCAGCAGAATCAGCTAAATCCCAACTCAGCTATAAGTCGAGTTCTCCTCTCGGGGAAAACATTGTGTAGTTTAAAAGCCGATTCAGCATTATGGATTTTGAGTGCTCACTTAAGAGATGGATTCGCAGAGCGAGTATTGTCTAACATTCCTTTGTTGAGATCGTTGTATTATTTGGATGTTCGTTCCCCCGGAATGTCTAATATTCGAAACCAATTAAATATTGATTCGGAAGATAATTCGGTTATCACGAACAATGACGGAAAGCCTTTTTTAATGTGAAATAATCCATTTACTCAAACATGTCTTGTTAATTATTATCAACCGTCCTTTGTTTTCAACAAAATTCGTGGAATACGCCCTGATTGTTTCTGAATAGGTGATTAGTAAACAATAAAGTATTCTTCACAATTCAATTATCCAAATATCAAACAGATAATTTCAATGCCAACATGATTTTTAAGGACAAAACACAAGCACTACAGGAAAATCCTTAAAGTGTTTTCAGAGCGGTGCCAGTGCGAAGGTGGCGATTCACATTGGATTTGAATCACTGGAGATGAAATACATTTGGAAAAACGTTCTCAGGAAGTTTAATCCACATGAACGCATTTCTTAAACAGTGAAGTTCGAGATGTACTGAGTTGAAATTCAAAATGATGGGCAGTCACAGTCCGTTGCGTATTTCTGATATGTACCGCTCTTTGTGGAATAAAATGTGCCAAGTCACTTGAACACCTCCCGTGAAAGTATCTATAGAAGAGAAACAAATCTCTAAGCTTTTTTCGATGTTCCAGGCTATCAAGATTGCACGTGATGTTCGCGTCTCCAGTCAAGCGGATGGTTCTTTTCTGGATGGAATCCAGCAGCTTCAGGTCTGATCTAAGCTTTATAAAGCNAGTAAGTTAGAAATTAATATTTCGACGTTAACAACTCACAATCCGTAGTAATGTCTCGCAAGTAAATATCACCAGAAATGAGATATTTCAATCTACATAGCTATACCACAATACCTGAAAATAAGCTCACTCTCTCGTGAAAACAGGGTAATAAATCTTCAGGATTCGATCAATATAAACTATATTCATTGCAGTTCAAACATTAAAAAAAAACGCTTTACGACGTTAACGTCTGCTATAAATATATGAAATACCGAAGCCATTTGCAGCAGACTTCAGGCAATATACAGACATCAGAAACGGTGCAACGCTTAAATAAATATTCCGTATCGGAAAGTTATTTCTCATTCGCGTCACCTAGTTGGCTTTCGAAAGTTTATTTCATCCGTACACATTTATTGCAGCTTCTAAAAAGAGAGATTTCGAAGACTGATAAATCAATTTGTGCCAGAAATAACTTTTTGCAGCGAAAACTTCTAATGGGAGGATAAACCGCTTGGTAACGTAACGCATAATGGCGCCAGTATGTCCTTTCTCCTCACTCTAACATACAGCGCAGGCCGTACGATTCTCTCGCCTCTTTTCGCACGGCTCAGTGTTTAGTGTGTGGTCGACATATACTGTTGTGAGTGAGCATATTATGTAAAATTATCACCGCTTTTGAAAGTGATAAAAAATTAAAGACGCGGTTCAACCCGGATAACAGTATATCATTTTACTGACCGCGGAAACCTATCCGAACACACACACCGCGTCTGTAATTTCCATCATTTCAACGTTTCGGCTCCTGCTTTGGAGTCATTTTCAAGAATCACTTAGATTTGTACTACATGATTTGAAGACGAGGTCGTAATCTCCCTTGTCCCCAAGTCTCGTTACTAGTTCTATGTTCGCTGTGTTCCACTCCAAGTTCGTACTGGTCACTCTGTTGTTCGGGGCCCATATTCATGTTGTTGTAGCAGGTATCTGGTTTGCCTGAGTAATTTTTGTCCTCCAGGTTTGTGGTAGTCTCTGCGAATCATCTCGTTTGTTAAGGCAGTTGAGGCGTTTTTCAATTTCGATTGCTTCCCGAATTATCCTGTGTTACATTGTAAATTTCACTTAGCACAAGTCACCTATTTAACCCAACACTTGGTATAAACGCTGCCATTCTTTATTATTGCAATATCTCAAGGTACACTTCTCAAGAAAAGGTTATTCTATTTACACAGCTTCGATATGATAAAATGCCTGACTCCATCGTAGACTGTACCCTAAAAACACAAATATACTTGTCAGTTCGTTTGTCATGAATGAGAGATAAGTCCTACTACCTTCCATCTCGGTTTTTACTGGATTTCCATCCCAAAGAGAGGCTATTCTTGTGTGGGATTGCCTATTATTACTGGTTTCATTCATTTCGATAGTACAAATCATTGGCTACTGATTTTAGGAGTCGCTACTGATTTTAGGAGTCGTCATTATGTTGTCCTGTGTTTCAAATCCAGTTATTGAACTCTTGTGCCGATATTTACTTGATGGGATATCGAAAATCTGTAAAATGGCATTGTTCAGGTTGGAATAATGTTGACGGTCAGAAATCAATATCGATCAATTTAGTACTCTGTTGAGATGTTATGCCAATTATTGGGACTCCTTACCTCATTTTCATTGGGTCGTATCTGAAGCGATTTTCCTTTTCTGTTATATTGAAGGTCTTTTGTAAACATCCTCATTTTCGTAAACATCACAGTGTTTGACAGCATTGACACGACAGCCGTGACATCTAACCTTGGTTGAGGATGTAGGTGTGTTGCATGGAAGTCTGTCAGGAGCGCGTTCGGTTAGATGAACCGAGTGGTTCGACTACTCAGCGAGGAGAGCATTTCCGTTAATTGTAAATAGGTTATAGGTTATATGTGCATTTTATGTGTAAATAAATTATGTAGGGTTGTGTTAATCTACGGAATCAAGTATTGAATTAGTTATTTGGACAAGTCAACGTAGAGATGACGGGAAAGTGACATATATCGCATATGTTGGAACTTACGTGCAGAGGGACCGGCAACTGAGGGCTGTCGTCAAGTGGATGACATTTGAGAGATGACGGGGAGATTTGAGATTGAACGGTGAGAGTCTGGACGAAAGGTGATCTGTGTTGAGTTGTTCAAATATAAGAAATCCGTCAAC